CACACACACACACACACACACACACACACACACACACACACACACACATTCATGCACAATTTATTCCATGCCCATGCTGAACACCGATTTCTCGCCCAATTTCCACTTTCTTTCTGCTGTATAACGTAATTTCGATGTTTTCAAATCATGTCTACAGCCTCCAGATGCGTCGGTGAAACTCCAACGGAACAGTCTGTCACAGCCCCTTGTCTGTTGTCCTCTTCTCCCTCTCTGCCTACGGTTTACCGGGGAGTTCTGTTTGGCGAGATATATATATCGTCAAATAGAACTGCCCGGTAAACCGTAGGCAGAGAGGGAGAAGAGGACAACAAACGAGGGCTGTGACAAACTGTTTCGTCGGAGTTTCACCGACTCATCAGGAGGTATAGAGAGAGAGAGAGAGAGAGAGAGAGAGAGAGAGAGAGAGAGAGAGAGAGAGAGTACTATAATTATTGCAGCAGTTTTTCCGTCCACATACTGTCATCAGCAGACGCCCTCTCGCCCGTTCAAGAAGCAAAAAAAAAAAGACATCTCAAGGAGCGCCCTCTCTCTTTGTGTGTTTCGTCATGTTCACTATACACACCTCCACAAAAAAAGCATTGAAGCCGTTTTTCCATCCAGATACAGTCGTGAGAAGGGGCCCTCTTCCCCGTTCAAGGACCATAATGAAGAAGACACTTCGCGGAGCTCCCGCTCTCTTTCTGTGTGTTTTGGATTTTCACCACAACAGCCCCCAAGGGCCCCAACCCACCCCGATGAGTAGATCCAAAATCAAAGTAGCTTCACCTCTATTTCAGAGAATGAAGCTTACTTGAGATGAGCCAAACCAACAAGGAAACAGTTTCACCTGCCTATCATAGCAAGCAACATGGGGCACACAATACATCCATTGTATTCCTTCACCATTTGTTTTCGTCTTCCTTTGGGGTACCCCTTCTAGTTGTTCCCGCAGCTCCTCTTTTACTGTGCCTGTCACGTACACGGCTGGCCATGTCGACCTTGGTTGAGCACCAGCTGCTGCCCACATCTCCGTGTACCTTAACGGACCACTTGCACGTTATGAAAGGAGGCAGAGTAAAGAGGAAGGGAGCTTAATCTCCTGATCGTTTTTCTTCAGATCTTCAGCTTATATTTTGTCTCTACTCTTAAGGATGCTTCTCATTCATATGCATTTACTAGTAATACACAAGGAGAGAGAGGGAGGGGGTAGGAGCCGGAGTTCCATAGGGAGTGAGGGGCAGAGGCGTGTGTGTCCGTCTGTACGGGCAGGCGATGAGGGGGTCTGGTCCATAATCAGGGTATCGAGCTGTTGCAAGATCTCAACGCCTCAGGCTGTTGCACCTGCTGGTCGTCTGTCACTGATGGAGGAGGTCCGTCTACAAGTGCAGCCGGAGGATGCCAACATGATATGTTAGACGTGAATGGAGAGGATGCGGCCGGTGATGGCGCGGCGGATAGTCCACACATTAGGAAAGACACATACTGTGCAGCACAGCTTTCTGAAAACCACACATTAGAGACACACACTCTCCATCACAGCTTGCTGAAAACATCGACAACACATGGGCATGTTGCTCACAACATGGTAATAGGACAGACAGGACAGCTGGCTCACGCTCACAGTTATTCAAGCATGACATGTGAAGGCCACAACGGCGTATGGGGCAAGTGACACGGAGGTGATGGGGGACGAATGCAAGACAGGGTGTTACAGTTTTCATGGCACAGGCTGCCAAATGGCCATCCCCTCATAATGTTCAGAGCAGAGATTATGCCCTGCGCATCCGAACTGGACTGTGCTCGTATGCGGACACAATGGCATGGCACAGAGACCGTCATTCAACGATGTGCGTGCGTTGTCATATTCGCTATACACTCAAAAAAAGCATGACTGTGCCAGACTGTTTCGTCGGACTGTCACCGACTCAGATGTGTGTGTGTGTGTGTGTGCATGGGTATGGAACACCCTCTTTGCAGCCAAAGCCATCACACTACCTCTGCTGTTAATTAGGACAAACACACGCGCAGCATGTTCTACCTTCAGCCCCGGTCCCGAGATGCAGAGGAGAACTCGGCCCACTGAGAGAAAACCGATGTACTATGCCTACTCCCCGGGGGGGGGTGTATTTGCAGGTGTATGGACCGGCCTCTTTGCAGCCAATGTCAGCACACTACCCTCTTCTTAATTAGGAGAAACACAGGCGCAGCACGTTCTACCTTCCGCCTCGGTCCCGAAATGCAGACGAAAACTCGGCCCACTGAGGGAGAACCAAACTACTCTGCCTACACCCCAGGGTGTGTGTGATTGCATGTCTATGGAACGCCCTCTTTGCAGCCAACGTCAGCACACTACCCTCTCTTCTTAATGAGGAGACACAGGCGCAGCATGTGGCACAGCATGTTCTACCTTCCGCCTCGGTCCCGATATGCAGAGGAAAACTCGGGCTACTGAGGGAAAACCAATGTACTCTGACTACACCCCGGTCCCTTGGAGCAGAAGTTTCCTTCCCAAACTCAAATAGAACACATACGCGAAACGAAACGGATCAGAACACAACCTGTGCGTTCTATCTGTTCAGAATCCGTATGCGTTATGTTCTCCGATGCCGAGCGCACAACAGTTCTTCGACAAAGAGCAACCTGCTGAAATTGTGCGACAGTTCTTCGACAAAGAGCAACCTGCTGAAATTGTGCGACAGTTCTTCGACANACAACAGTTCTTCGACAAAGAGCAACCTGCTGAAATTGTGCGACAGTTCTTCGACAAAGAGCAACCTGCTGAAATTGTGCGACAGTTCTTCGACAAAGAGCAACCTGCTGAAATGGTACAACAGTTCTTCGACAAAGAGCAACCTGCTGAAATTGTACGACAGTTCTTCGACAAAGAGCAACCTGCTGAAATGGTACAGCAGTTTTCCAGGGGCTGGGGGGTAGACACTAGGGCAAACGGGGAGAAAAGGGCAACATACAGTTGGTGGCGAGCTCCATCACTGTGCGGTCATGACCCACTCTCCCCCTATCCCCTTGGCTTTTTTCCACCAACCCCACGACCCCACGACCGACCACCGAGCCCAAAATCCAGCTACCTAGCACCTCATGACGGCCAGCGGACACAAGCCTGCCACGTTTCAAACACATAGATCCCAAAGAAGACCCCATCTCCATGCTCCTTTTTCACCTTTCAGTGGCTTGCAGAAGCCTATAAACGCGAGCGTCTTCATTGGCCCCGTAACGACGGACTCCAAAGAGGAGATCATGAACGCAATTTCGCAAAAGGAAATAAAAAACCACAATGGAAATAGCCACGAGTACCCGGTCAGTAGGTAGGTAGACAGGCTGGTTGGTGGCTGATTGGCGCAGCAGCAGCAGCCAATTCATTGAAAGCCCTAAGAACAGGGGCGGGGTTGAATCAAACTCTTTTCAAAAACGCAAAGAAAAAAAGCTCGGCGCCAATTCCATTTCATCCATAATCACCCCTGACAATCTGTCAGTCCTTATTCCTTTGACACATGTGCATGCACACACACACACACACACACACACACACACACACACACACATACGGGGTCACCCCTTATCGAATCGGCGCGTATGTGCATGCGCATGCACATGCGGCAGCGGATCTTACCGACACCAATGAAAGAAGAAGACTCTACTATACCCTCGATCGCAATGCGACCAGCCATCAAGTACACACGAAGATCTTCACTCATGCTTCTCTCTAGGCCTTTTCCCCCGCAAGTCACGCAGTGCCATAAAGGAAACGAAGAAGATCTCCACTCATGCTTGTCTAGGCCTTTTCCGCAAGTCGAGCACTAACTGTTCTCAGCTTGGAGTACACCTTCCCCGCCGGCGAGCCCATAATCAAACTGCACAAAGCATCTCTTGCAACCTTGATGTTCGCGTAGGATCCAAGGATGTGAATCTTCGTGTCCGCAATGACAATCCGCGTACGCGTGCTATTCTCTATTGCAAACTTCGTCCTCCCACCTTTCCCTGACAATCTCCCAATTGCCCTCGATAGATGCTCTCCTCGCAGAGTCTTCACGTCCTTAATTTCAAAGGATTCTACGAACAAGTCGTCCAAACGCAGAAGAGCTATGGCATCGGCGACATCAAAACCTAAGACAAACGCATGCACAAAATCGGCAGCTTTCTGCAAAGCGGATATGTCAGGGGTCTCAGGGGTTGTCTTCAGCTCCACTCTCCGGGCCTGCCACATTTTTTGCCACAACACACCCCACAAAAGACAACAATTCAAACACACCATCAAACAAAGCATCGCACGATAGTGTGATATTCCCAATTGCCATATTTACAATAAGGAGGAACAGCAGGGGGGACTGCCACATTGATTGCCTCATCACACGCCATAAACGACAACAGACCAAACGTACCATGAACAAAGCATATCCCATATTCTCCGTGGCCATTTTGAAGGAGAAAAAGGGGGGAATGGAGAGATCGAGCCTGCCGTCTTCTCCTCCAAACATGACGCATATGCTTTGTATTCCGATTTCTCCCACCCCTCCACCCCCCCGCCTGCCCCTAAAACAAAAACAAAGGGAAAATTGCATCTGTACCCCACAGTCCCAGCGCCAACTTGCGTCTACAGCCCCAGAAAACGGCTGCTGGACATTGTTTGCATCCCCAGCACCGAGGTGGACCCAGGTTGGTACCGCAATATTGCTGTTATACCCAACTACCGGAATGCACAAATTTTATGGACATTCCCAGGCAAAATTATGGGCATACCCGGAACCTCAGGAGGAGAGGCCACTTCCTATACCCTGCTGCTACCGGATGGCTGAAATTACGCTCATACCCAGCAGCCATTGGGCCACAAAGATCTACTTGGTGGGGCATGAGCATAATTTCGTGCTCTGAATCCAGGGCCTGCGGGACTGGGTACACCTACAATTTCGCACAGGGGATAAGCTGCAAAGTTGAGCGTCCCCGGGTATAAATGCAAGTTAGCGCTGGGACTGGGTATAGCGGGTATTCCCATCTTCAAGTGGGGTACAAATGCAATTTTCCCAAAACAAAATAGAGTTCCTTCTTTTCTGCAAATAGGACACTTCGAGTAGGACATATATGACTCGTACTCAAATACAATGCAAAGCAGAACAGTTCTGCGGGATGGAAAACCGAAAAACTTTTGGGGAAAAAAAAAAAAATCGAACAACTTTGGCTGAGGGACATTGAAGAACTCCTAATTATATATTGAAAATAAAAATTAAAACAACTTATCTGGAGGAGAAGGCCGTGATCTCGATACAGGGCGGGGAGGGGGAAAAAAAAAAGAAAAAGGAGGGCAGGGAGAAGGAGAGCATAGCCGAATCTGGAATGAGGTAAAGGACAAGGTCGGAAGAGGAGGGAGGGAATGACGAAGACGGCCGACATCGTAGGTACCGAAGAAGGGCGTCGTTATCGGGGAAGGGAGATCGGGTTGGGCAGGGAGGCGGTAAAGCCGCCACGGGAAGAGAGAGGAGGAAAACGCCGCGCTCTCGCCACTTGTCATTATACTATACTACTATATCACTCCTCCTCCCCCTTCTTCTCCTCCTCTTCTGCAGTGATCCCCGGATTGCTCGATTGTCCGACTGTCATCTGCTAATGATGATGATGATGATGATGATGATCATCATCATCATCATCATCATCATCATCATCGCCTTACGTTTAACTCGTGTCCCTTGACCGTGGACTGTGGATCGTGTAAGCATGTCACGAAGACATACTGTAAATTGGCCACATGTCCGTCCCCCTATGTTTGACACGCGTCCGATCCCCATCTTCTTTGACGAGTTCGTTCAGCCGCACATTCTGGACAAAGCTCAGGCGAGTCAGTGACAGTCGCCTCGCCATCGCATCAACCGACAGATCGATATTATCGCCACTTGTCACGTCACCGCTTGCCATCGATTCGGCCCCACCTCATACTGAAATACATGAAAACAGAGAAAAACTCGGGATTCGGATAGATGGGCGCAAGAAGGCCCAAACCCCGGAAAGAAAAAAAGCCCTGATTTTCCACTCACCCCTGGTACCCCGGGCACGCAAGCCCCCGGGCAGTGCCGCCCGGGTCGCCCGGCCGCGCAGGGTAGGTCGGGCAACTCCGATAACCTAGGAGGACACCATTTTCTACATTTTCCCACTGGACATATCCGCTTTGCAGAAAGCGGCCGATTTTCCCACGGATAATAGTGTTCCAAAGCGGATATGGTCACTCCTCTCCGTTGGAACACTATTATCATTTCTTCTTCTTCTTCTTCTTCCCTCTCTCTCTCTCTCTCTCTCTCTCTCTCTCTCTCTCTCTCTCTCTCTCTCTCTCTCTCTCTCTCTCTCTCTCTCCCCCCCAAACAAATACACCCGGCATCTACAATCTAATGAAAGTCGCAATCCCCACTGGCGATCCCTTTCAAGGCGCACCGTCCACATCATCCACAAGCCAGTGTGACTGCTTGTCGAATGACCGCCGTCCGATTCGTTCACCAATCAAACCACATAGGGTAGAGCTGTGACCATTTCTCGTTACCATATAGTACTATTACAGTAATATTAAACCCAAAAAACAATTTCATGAATCGAGATACAGTAATTAAAGTGAAAATTCGATTTACTACAGCCAAATCGCATATGTGAGCGGCGACTCAAGATTCCATGGATGCCGCATACAAGGCCGTCGCCCTTTCATAAATAGCGGGGGGGGGGGAAAGCTTGCCGGCCGGCGAGCACATCACAGACAAACTACAGTCCACAGTCACCCAGCTTCCCTAGTCCACAACCCGCACAATACCCGGAAGCAACACCCACACATGGGCTTTCACCGACACATGAGCAGGTTGAATCCCGTCTGGGTGCATGAACACACCCTCCCTCATAGCTCAATGGCAACACCTCCAACTGTTGATCGAGAGGGGACGAGTTCGGTTACTTACAGTATCTTGGCGCCTACCCGCCTCGACAACGAATGCGCGCACGCACGCACGCATGTGTGTACAGCACTTGAAGAAAAAACGAAAAACAAAAAGAAAAGAGGAATCAATCGCGCGCTCGTACCTGCAAATTCATTCGGATGTCCAGCTTGAGGGTGTCGTGAATCGGCGTGTAAATGGCCATCCAATGCTCCTTCAATGGCGTATACCGGTGCGGGGGTATATTGACTTTCCGAAATTCCGCCTTATTCCCGCTCATTTCCCGTGCGGTCAAGGGCGCGAAGTCCGGGCGAGGTGGTAACGGCACCGCCGCTGCCGCCAACCGCGCCCCGTTCCCATCTCGCGTCTCTATCTCGTTTCTGCCAGCTCCTGTGGGAATCCCTGCTAACGAACTCATCTTCCTTCCTGAACAGCCGTTTCTGCGGCCGCCTTCTCTATCTAGTACAATGAAGCTCGCCAAACAGAGTGTCGAATCAGGGGTTTCTGACAGCTCTCCGATCACAACATAGCCTGTCGAATGGTGGCTTCACACAGAGAGAGAGAGAGAGAGAGAAAGAGAGAAAGAGAGAGAGAGAGAGAGAGAGAGGAGAAGGAGTGAGGTGGAAACGCCGGGAAAAAGAGGGGAACAAGGAGGCGAGTGGCGCCAGAGGTTGGGGGGGAGGGAAGCAGCCAAGACGAAGGGAGAGGAGAAAGAAACGCTACCACTAATGACAGTGATATGTGGAGGACGGGAGTGAGAGGAGAGACGGACAGACGGTGACGCCGGGGAGGTAATAGGGCAAACACCCTCCCAGAACAAAACCCCAAGGAAAATACCGATGCCGGCTACCTGACTGAATCTAGTATAGTCCCCGGATCGGCACATACCGGGTTCCATTTTCGTCGTTTCATTTCTTTCTATTTTCGGGAAGGTCGTGCAGTACAGCTTCGCTAGGACGGGTTCGTTTGGGGTCTCCTACAGCGGAAAATAGGGTCCGGTCGCAGTCGTCCCTAGGACCGGTCGTAGGGGTCGTTGCAATTTATTTATTTATTTATTTATTTCGAGGCCGGGGACCTCACAATTCAACCCGGAGTTATCCCGGCAGCATCAGCCGGTTTAGCTTAAACCACCAGTACCTACCGGTGTTCAAGGCCCGTCCCTGCAACTACCAGTAGGCGTAGCCTACGGCTACCACGCCAAGCCTGCGACTACCGGTAGATGAGTGAGAAGGCATTTTACAAACATTTTATTTGAACAAAATAAAAATAAAAACAAAAAACAAACAAACAAAACTTCATACGTGAAAAAAAAAAAAAAAAAGGAAAAAAAAAACCGGAAAAAGCAAGTCGGACACTGCATTGTTCCCCATGGGCGTGGTCCCACTAGCAAAGAGGATCCGATCAAATGCCTGAATCTAGACGTATTTTATCCAAAGATGCAGAAAAGCAGTTCAATCTCAATTTTCTGCACATCTTCACGATTTCGTCCAGATTCAGGCATTCGATCCGATCCTCTTTGCTAGTGGGACCACGCCCGTGAGAGAGAGAGAGAGAGAGAGAGATAGAGAGAGA